TTGATGTTTTTTAATTTTTTGTTTATTCCTTCGACACTTAGTAATGGTTAAATATTTTCGATTAACGGTTTAAATTATATCAAAATCGGACGACTATAGCATATAGCTCCCATAGGAACAATCGGAAAAATAAATGAAAAAAATTATAACTTTGCTGTTTTTATACCCTTGCAGAGGGTATTATAATTTCAGTCAGAAGTTTGCAACGCAGTGAAGGAGACATCTCCGACCCTATAAAGTATATATACTCTTGATCAGCATCACTAGGCGAGTCGATCTAGCCATGTCCCTCTGTCCGTCCGTTTCTACGCAAACTAGTCTCTCAGTTTTAAAGCTATCTGCATGAAACTTTCCAAAAAGTTGTCTTTCTATTGCAGGTAGTATATAAGTCGGAACGAGCCGGATCATCAAAGTTATAATTTTTATACCCTTGCAGAGGGCATTATAATTTCAGTCAGAAGTTTGCAACGCAGTGAAGGAGACATCTCCGACCCTATAAAGTATATATATTCTTGATCAGCATCACTAGCAGAGTCGATCTAGCCATGTCCGTCTGTCCATCCGTCTGTCCGTTAGTCTGTCCGTCCGTTTCTACGCAAACTAGTCTCTCAGTTTTAAAGCTATCTGCATGAAACTTTCCCAAAAGTTGTCTTTCTATTGCAGGTAGTATATAAGTCGGAACGAGCCGGATCGGACGACTATAGCATATAGCTCCCATAGGAACAATCGGAAAAATAAATGAAAAAATTATAACTTTGCTTTCTTTTAAGTTTTTGTTTAGTTCTTCGACATTTAGTAATGGTTAAATATTTCAGAATTACGGTTTAAATTTCATCAAAATCGGACGACTATAGCATATAGCTCCCATAGGAACAATCGGAAAAATAAATGAAAAAAATTATAACTTTGATGTTTTTTAATTTTTTGTTTAGTTCTTCGACATTTAGTAATGGTTAAATATTTCCGATTTACGGTTTAAATTTCATCAAAATCGGACGACTATAGCATATAGCTCCCATAGGAACAATCGGAAAAATAAATGAAAAAAATTATAACTTTGCTGTTTTTCAATTTTTTGTTTAGTTCTTCGACATTTAGTAATGGTTACATATTTCCGATTTACGGTTTAAATTTCATCAAAGTCGGACGACTATATCATATAGCTTCCATAGGAACAATCGGAAAAATAAATGAAAAAAATTATAACTTTTCTGTTTATTAATTTTTTGTTTAGTTCTTCGACATATAGCAATGGTTAAATATTTCAGAATTATAGTTTAAATTTTATCAAAATCGGACGTCTATATCATATAGAAATAATAAAAATATATAAAATAACTTTCAAATAATTGAGCTGCAAATCATCATAGCTTCAATGTTTTTAAACATATACGAAAGTAAATCATAATTTGAATGTTTTCAAAAATGTTTAATTCTTGCAATAGCTGCAAGGGTATATGAACTTCGGCTTGCCGAAGTTTGCTTTCTTTCTTGTTTCATTTATTTTTCGTATTGTTCCTTTTGGAGCTATATGATAAGTCGTCCCATCCGGTTAGTTCCGACTTATATATTTTCATGCAGAAATCTTTAAAACTGAGGGACTAGTTTGCGTAGAAACGGACGGACGGACGGACGGACAAACGGTTATGGATAGATTGAAATTATAATACCCTCTGCAGGGGTATAAAAACAATCGCACCAATGTATTTGTGTTTTAACAACAAGATTGCCTTGGATGTAAGCTCAAACGGAACCGGATATGGAGGAGGATTTGAGAAGTTAGCCCCATTCGTTATCAGACTCTCGGACATCTCGTTTCGGCCCTCTCCTAAATTTCCAAAATTCAAAATTTTCATTCGCAAGTGAAGTTGCTAAAAAATATAGTAAGTGTGGCCAGGATATGTGGTGTTTGCTTAACCCGTTCTTCTGCAGCGCTCGAAGGACCCAGCATGTGTGACGGATGTGGATCGTTGGAGGTAAGTGGAGCCTCCTCCAGACCACCTGACCTGCTAACCCACAAGTTCCGTTTCAGCCGCGAGGATGCCGCAGCAGGGAGCTGCGCTGCGGCATCATGTACACCACCTGCGAGTGCGTGAAGCGGAACGGTCTGCAGGACAAGTGTCCGCGCTCCGCCTGCCAGGGCAGGCCGGCCTGTCTGTGCTTCCCGTTCCCCACCTGCGGTCCTGCGGCCTTTCCGCTGCGTTACGCCAACATGATGATGGGCGTAAACAACAAGCGGATGCGCTGTGCCGCCACGGGAGCGCCGAACGGCGGCGCAGGATGCGGCGGACGAGTTGCTGGCGGCTGCTGTGGCGGCTGCGGTCCCTGCTGCTGTAAGGAACCACCGCCCTGCTGAGGCCCCCACAGTCCGCCCACAGAGAGGTGCCCCGTCGCCCATTCCGTGCTCCCCATTCCCGAAGCCGGCATTCCCGATCCGCGTGTCTGGCACAACTATTTTAGCTCGCCTGTGACGTACCCATTAAGGTCCGGCCTAGGTGTGCGTCCGTGTCCCCAGTCCCAGTTTCCTTTCCCGTCCGTCCGTAGAGAATCGTAGAGAATTGTAGAATTGTCCGGCGACTGTGCGGGCCATGACGTTTTGAGCACCAGATTGAGTGACCAGACCCTTTGTCGTTTTACAGAAGCTCCATGCCCATCACACCACTACGCCAACAAGCAGGATCACTGGCACAATACGCCAACCAAATGCTAGGCTCCGGGTAAGTAGTTTTCGTGGCTGGCCAATTCACGAGTTATAGTTTTTCTCTAGCAGGTGGTTTCCATGTGGATCTTGCCGGGCCATATTGTCGAGTGGCGCACTTTTGGCTGGTACTAAATTGAAGGCGGCTTAAATCAAGATGGTGCTCGCTGCCGAACCTTCGAAAGGTCGAGAACTTGTTGGAAAACCATGTAAAAAACCGTCTGTCTGTCTTGATTTAACCACCAAACTTTTGTAGGTTGTTGGACTCTAATTTTGGCATTAAATTATATAAAGTTGATGAAAAGTTATTTGTTCTTTTATAATCAATAAATTAGCTGATAGAACAAAGTTCAGACATATTTAATTTTTTTGTTTTCTAAGAGCTACGCCTCAGCCTACTTAATTTTTTGAACATGCGGCTGTAGTGCAATCTTTTGCATAATGTTTCGCTTGTTTGACTGTCTGTATTTAATCTTACTAATCAGATATTTAGACTCTGGCAAGCGAAAGATTTACTTAAGGAACTCCGATCTATTATGTAGATTCGAAAACAGCGCAGTTATATGGATATGGCAGGATATGAATCAAAATTTATAAAACCATCCATCATTCTCAACCAGGTAGCAAATAAGTCGGAACCAGCCAGATCGGAAGACTATATTATAAAGCTCTCATGAGAACAATTAATAATTAATAATAATTGTAATAATTTATTATTTACAAGCAAAAATGTAATGTAATGATTTAATATTTGCGAATAACGGTTTCTATTACCAAAGGAATGATAAAATAAATTAAAATGTTTCACTGTTTTTTATATAATATTGTTGTTTTAAGGAATATTTAATTTTTTGTAATAAATGAAAGTGAAATATAATCTTTGGCTTGCCGAAATTTGCTTCAGTTCTTGTTAAAGTAAATACAAAGCGTTAGTACAATCAGTTAATAAACGATTATGCCGGATGCCGGAACTCCCACACAATTAATTAACTTTTATATAAAAAACAAAAACATTTCAATTCTAATTCATGCTGAAGAATTTATAATGTTACATTATAAGGTCGGTATCGTTTTAATGCGCTTGCAGAGGGTATTATAATTTAAGTCAGAAGTTTGCAACGCAGTGAAAAAAACATTTCCAGGGTCAAAAAGTATAAATGGTCAAAACGAGCCGGATCGGACGACTATTGATTGTTATTTTAAAATTACGGTTTAAATCGACTATTGCTTATAGCTTTATAACATTTTTTTGTTTTAATGTTACTTCTTTTTTTAGGGCATAGTAATGGTTAATTAACTCAGAATCATATAGCTGCCAAAAGACCAATCGAATATTTGGGCTGGAAAGCATCATAGCTTCAATGTTTCTGATCATAGACATATATATTGTGTCTAAATTGTGTGTAAATGTCTTATATTATTATTTTTTTTATGTGATTTTTCATTTAGTAGTGTAGGTGTAGGAACAGGCCTCCAAGACTAGACCATGCAGTTTATCTTTTTATACGCTTGCAGAGGGTAATATAATTTCAATCAGAAGTTTGCAACGCAGTGAAGGAGACATCTCCGACCCTATGAATTACATATGTTCGTGTCCATGTCCGTCTGTCCGTCTGAAACTTTTCCAAAAGTTGTCTTTCTATTGCAGGTAGTATATAAGTCGGAACGAGCCAGATCGGACGACTATAGCATATAGCTCCCATGGGAACGATCGAAAAAATAAATTAAATAAAATTGGAGATTAGTAATGGCTAAATATTTCAGAATTACGGTTTAAATTTCATCAAAATCGGACGACTATAACATAAAGCTCCCATGGGAACAATAATATACGATATCAAATAGCTGCCATAGGAATTATCAAATAAGTTCAAATAGCTTCAATGTAAACATACACGCAAGTAAATCATAATTTTAATGTTTTCAAGAATATTTAATTTCTGAAATAGCTGCAATGGTATATGAACTTCGGCTTGCCATAGTTTGCTTCCTTTCTTGTTCTTTTATGAAATGCTTGTACTCACTTCACAAATTCAACGACCCAACCCTTCAATTAACTTGCTCATCAAACTTGCGAGAGTTTCTCGTAATTCGGTGAACGAAAGTAAAAATAAAGCTTTTTAAATATATAAATATTAAAGCAAGCCTCTGCATACACTAGTCGCAAACAATCATTTTCAGCTACACAGGGTATTTTTGCGCAAAAAAGTTTGTGTTTTCCTTTGAGGATTAGTAGGCCAGGAGATTGGATAAAGTTGGCCATGACTTTCAGCTGGAACCGAACCCGAAACTTCAACCGAACGAGGCAAAGGCTGTGGGAAGCTATTCTCATTCCATACAAAACCCTCTGAGCAGTCGTTTCGGCCTCTAAAATTCACAAAATTCTTAAAATTCTAAATTTTTTTCGAAGAAAATTCAACTAAAATAGTAAGCCTGTATCAGATGTGTAAAATTATCGGTTTAACCTGTTTTATCTGTCGCCAGCAGCGCTAAAAGGACTCAACATGTGCAACGGATGTGGATGCTGCGGACCCTGTAATGAAACGCCCTGCTGTGGCCCACACAGTCCGCCGTGCGGTGCTCCGTCGCCCATTCCGTGCTCTCCAGCTCCGGGCATGTGCTGTCCTCCTCTGCCCGAAGGTGGCATTCCCGATCCGCGTGTCTGGAACTACTATAACACACCCCCTACGTATCCATGTAAGTCCGGTTCCGTTCATGTAAGCCCCCGTCTGTCCGTCCGTCCGTCCGTTCGTTAGGGAGAGCACGGATACGTACGGTCAACGTGCGTGCCACAGCGTCTCGAACTCGATCCTTGCGATCGGACCTTGGTGTGACGCCTTGCCTTCTCCCGAAGCTCCCTGCCCCAAACGCTACCTTGTGAACAAGGACAACATGCCCTGTGTTTGGTGCGGGCCGTGCAAGGCCCACTGCTACAACACCCCACCCAAATGCTGTTGCTAGGGTCTCGCAACCTGTCCTGATCCGAATTCTTTCCGCCCTTCGCCTTGCCTCGCGTGTAAGTAGTGCTAGTAGCTGCCATTCTCACCGATTTTTATTGATTTCTATTTGCAGGTGGATTTTAAGTGGCTCTGGAAAGCTCTTCAGTTGGGATGCTGCCATTTTGGTTGGAGATTCGATCGAAACTGGCTTCAATCAAGACTCAGAATGCCGAGCAGCTGATTTCCCGTCAGCCTTCTTGATTTAAGCTTCCCATTTTCGGCATCTGTTTTGGACTGTTTTAGGCAATAAATTGAAATGCATTGAATCTTTTAGCAGCCCTACCGCAGTTTCAATCGATCTGCCACTTCTCTTGACAAAAAGTCCATTCCCAAAAAGCGCAGTAATGGAAATTTGGGCATGGCCGATACCCCTTCCCTTTACCAATAAATCCATTAAACAGACGATTTTGTTAGACTAGTCGTCGTCTGTGAAGCGTTCGGTAATTGGTTTTTCCGTATTTTTTTTATACCCTTGCAGAGTGTCACAAGAAAATCTACAGGAATTCGTAAAATTTATACCCTCGCAGAGGGTATTATAATTTTAGTCAGAAGTTTGCAACGCAGTGGAGGAGACATTTTGGACCCTATAAAGTATATATATTGACCAGCGTCACTAGGAGAGTCGATCTAGCCATGTTCGTCTGTCAGTCTACGCTGGCAAAAAAAATATGTGCATATCTCATATTTAAAATAAATATAAAAATATTTAAATAAAATAAAAATCATATTAAATTCCATAATTTAATATTAAAATATTTAAATAAATGTAAATATTGAGTTTACATTTTGGGCGATTTGTTTTAAATTTTATCATATTAAAATTGAAAATTTTCAGAATTAAAAAAACAGTCAAATTAAGAATGACATATTTAATTATAGTACAAAAACTAAAAATTAAAAAGAAATTTAAAAATTAAACTAAAAATACGATTTCTAGTTAAATTAAATGTTTTAATAATTAAAACAAATACGCATCGTGTTTAATTTTAAATGAAATATTTAAAATATTAAAAATTACTATGTACATATTTAAATTAAATACGAAAATAAAATTAATATGGTGCAGTAAATATAAATCGCAATGGATGAAAATCAAAGCGCAAAATATTTAAATTGAATACAAAATATTAAAATTTACTACTAAAGCATATAGCTTCCATAGAAACAATCGGAAAAAGAATGAAGAAAAAAATTGTAAGTTTCCTGTTTTTTTAATTTTTCGACACATAGTAATGATTAAATATTTTAGAATAACGGTTCAAATTTCACCATTTCAGACGACTATAACATAAAACTCCCATGGGAACAATAAAAATATTAAAAAAAAATTTTTAATAAATGTAATAAATGTTGTAATTTTTTAAAGTTTACATTTACTCTTTTAATTTTATAAAAATCGGAAAACGATATCAAATAGCTGCAATAGGAACTATTGAATAATTGAGCAGCAAATCATCATAGCTTCAATGTTTTTAAACATATACGCAGTTGATCATAATTTTATTGTTTTCAAGAATATTTAATTTTTCCAAAGCTGCAAGGGTATTTGCTTGACGAAGTTTGCTTCCTTTCTTGTTTTTTTTTAAATTAAATTTAATTTATTTAAAACGTTTTTCTAAACGCTACAGGTATATTAGTTATAATTTAATGATCTAGTCCCACTAGAAAAGTTAATTTGCAGTCATAATATAAATTTAACGCTACAAAAAAATTGTAATTTTACACCCAGAGAAAAATCATTGTAAATCCAAATATTTTCACTTTGAGTTAAATATTTTCGGTACTGGTTTAGCCCCGAGGGGTGTTTTGTTTAAATCAAAGTGTGTCACATTTTTATTGTTATTTTTTAATATTGAACAATTTAGTTTTTTATTAAAAAAAGAATTAAATATGTTAATAATAACACTATCATGTTTTTTTATGTATTTATTTAATTTAAGTTTTTTTGAATAAAGTTTATATTTGGAAAAACAATGTTAATTTTACTATGGGGTTTTTCTCTGGGTGTACTTATATTAAAGCTAAAGCTAGCGTCGCTATGTTTAGTTTACGTCATGTTAGTCTCTTGAAAGTGTGATATTAATTTTGCCTTAAACTGCGCTGCTATACTCATAGTATTTATAGTTTTGTAATTGGTTCCATTACCTTATTGCATAAATAAAGTATTGCCGTTTAGAAAGCAGGGATCTATGCCTTATCTTCGCGAAAAAAGATAGCTTGGCTCTTTAGTAAAAATTTTTTTTGTAAGTAAACTAACACTCTTGTAAAAGCCATTTTTGTACCATACTGACAATAGTGATCCTTTACGGCTAAACTGGACTAAACGCAATGAATTACAACTCAATATTCGTTTTAATTGCGTTAAAGAGGCTTACATTCGCAGGATTTTCAACTAATAAAACTGACGATACCTTTGTAACGCGCTTAAATTTGACTTATATTGAGAATATGCTTTGTGCAAATTCAATCAATGGTTAATTATTTATTTAATCCAAAAATATTGAACAGATCCAGCCACTTTACTTCCGGTCACTCTTCTTTCACCACGTTTTACCAGCTTTGCTCAGTTGTGGTAGCATTTGCAGTCGTGCTACGATTTGGATCATTAATGTACAATCCGACGATAAGAATGATGGAAATGATTACGATAACGATTATCAGAACTCCAATCAAGCCATAAAGTACAATTGTCTGTGGACCCGTCATTTCTGAATGGTTAACGTTACCAGCACCTGTATAATGAAGAAATCATTCGCAAGCATTCCCCAAACAGATTTTAAACTTACCAACAATTTTTTCGAAATGTCAACGTTCTTATTATACACTCAAATAAATTCTTTATTTACAGTTTTGATTAAGTATAACCCTTTGAATGTTAAGGCATAGACATACTGATAAATGTGAAAGATATGAACACTACTTTGCGCTTTTAGGTTAAGTGACAGTTGTAAAAACTACAATAATAAGGTTGTGCCCAAAAACACAATTGTTTGCGGTTTACGGGTCCAGAAGCATCGAAGCAGCGAGTGTGTTATTATACCCTTGCAGAATGTATTAAAATTTTGGGAAAAAGTTTGCAACGCACTGAAGAGACATTTAGGACTCTACGTGCGCCTCTCCGCCTGTTTCGACGCTAGCCTCTCAGTTATCTATCTGAATCGGAAATAAAGTCTTCTTTCATTACTTAAAAAATATCATATCAAAATATCATTTTGCAAAAATTAATCATTCTTGAAAACATTAAAATTATGATTTACTTGCGTATATGTTTAAAAACATTGAAGCTATGATGATTTGCATCTCAATTACTCGATAGTTCCTATGGCAGCAATTAAAAGCGTAATTCTGAACTGTCAAAACAAAGATAGTCGTTATAGTCGTCCGATTTTGATGAAATTTAAGCCGTAATTCTGAAAGCAATATTTAATTCCTAGTTATAGGGTCGGAAACGTCTCCTTCACTGCTTTGCAAACTTCTGACTTAAATTATAATACCCTCTGCAAGGGTATAAAAATAAATAAATAAATTAAATACATTTTAAATATTAAAATATACAACATTTTTTTTAAGTACGATTTTTTTTTTGATAAAACATAGACAATAATTCTTTTTTGATATTCTGCAAATAATAAAATTAGGACTGCGGAGCATTTCGGTGGAACTTTTAAGCTTGCGCTGCACAGGCATCGCCGACCCTTTTGTCTCTCTTCTTCTTCCGATAGCTGAAAGTACGAGAATCAAGTAATTTTAAGGACTATCTCAATTATTAAGGATTTACCTATCCACTAGCAGGCTAAGTGTGCTGCGCCTTGGAATGAGCATAAAAAAAACGAAAGCACCATAAAAGCGTTCGAAACACTTGGCAACCCTAATTAGCGGTTTATAAAAATAGCTTTGTCTAAAAATGTATAAAATTGAAAAAATTATATAAAAAACGCCCATCAAGGCAGATATTCGCAGAAACTGTAGATATCTATAATTCAAATACGGAATAATTATTACGCTTGGTTACTATTTTACAAAGTAAAAGATCTTACGTCTGACTGTCGAAATTAAGGCAGGTCACCGTCGTCTCCTCCTGTACTTTAAACCGGTTCAGTTCTCTTTTCACTTTGATAATGTAATAAGCCGTTAGGATAAACATAATAACACTGAAGCAATGTGTGAAAATTACAGGAAACCACATTATGAAATTTTCTGTTTCTGTGAAAAGAAATAATAGGTGTTTAGATACAGTGTAACCTTTTTAAATATAGTCGATCGGTCCAAAGCTCGAACGAACGTTTCTAAAATATTTCATATCGAGTGGAATGTGCTTTTGGCGACTAGATTTTACAATGTTTTGTCAGTTTTTCATGACTTTTCGTCATTTCAGGTTTTAACTTAGAGTTATTTAGAACGAATAGTCATGAAAAAGTGATAAAACATTGCATATTTCTATGTATATCTCAAGCTATGAAAGCTTTATAAAATCACCATAACTGATGTCTAAATAGAATAGCATTATAATATAGGCTGACACATAAATAGAAGTTGTGAACCAGACAAAGATGCTGTAGATCCGGAACTGATTAGGATCTTCATTGCAACTTAGTGACGTTAGCAATTTCCACAAGTGATAGCTAACGACAGAATGCCAGAGATTGTAAGCGCATCTAAAGGCAATGGGAATGAGAACTGAAAACGATCAATGTAAATTAAAATTCAATCTTAGCAAAAGTTTCAAAAATCTCTGCAAACAACAACAAACCTAATATAGGATATTTGTCGATTAAATTAATCATATCAGCTGACCAATACAGACTATTGATGATCAGACAGCAAAGGTTGCTGACAATGCACTTTCCGAGCACATTTCGAAGTTTTTCCACGTAAAGATACACTGCAATTGTTGGGACAGCGCAAATCACGGATATCAAATCGCCTAAAAATAATAAAAAAGGAGAAGGAAACGTAACAAGATAAGTTGTATAGCGAGATACGATTTCTTTGACTGCCTGCTTTAATCCAGTTCTAAACTTGGACTGGACAATCCACACAAGTTTGGAAACATGAAGAAAACTGATTTATTGAATATAAGCTTTACCGATTAATAACCAATTCCACATTGTGTAAAATATACAACCTTCTATACGAAGTGCCAAATTCGACTGACCCTCGATTGCAGAGTGCCTAGTTTTTAAATCAACAGCAGAAAAACTGAGCCAGTTCTCAAGCTGCCAAAGATTTTTATCTCGATCATTGGTGCTCGCAGCTGACTTTTACAGTGCCGAAATATGAAATCATTTGGAAACATATAAACACTGAGCGTAGGCACTTCTAATATATAATATATATACCCGATTGAAGTCGACCAATTCCCCTGGCACAAATAATTCTGAAGAAAGAACTTTATCGGTAAAAGGAACAATAGTAGATATAAAGGGAATTCAAATTTGTGTTCTACTCTTCGTTCGAACTCTATTCTACTCTCTTGAAAGTTTCAGGACTATGTCATATAGCTTCCATCCAAAAATAAAAAGGAAAATCACAGGAAAATCGACAGGAATTCGTAATTTTTTTTTAACACACTCATCACACTTGATAAAGAATATATATACTTTATAGGGTCGGAAATGTCTCCTTCACTGCGTTGCAAACTTCTGACTGAAAATACCCTCTGCAAGGGTATAAGAAACCTATTTTTAATGTTTCTATTTGTCTCTAATAATTTGGGCATTCTTATCAAAAATTTGGGGCGACCAATTCCCATTGCACCCATTCCACTTGAGAACGATTTTATCAAGTTTTTCACGATATGTTGGTCCATTTCGTTAACACTTTGTACGCCCATTTGTAGCCTGTTCACTGAGTAGTCATTTGAATTTATTTCCGGTTTTTGCTCCAATGGTGGAATAAGGGTACAAAGTTTGATATATATCTTAATTCAAGTATATTATATAATTCTTGTAATCAACATTTTTTAAATTTAAAATACAAGTCTCAAACGTTTCAAATACCAAGAAATTCCAATATTTATTACCAATATTTATGGCCATTCAATTAAATCAGTAACGGAAAATCGAAGCCTTTTTTCATGATGATTTTAAAGGAGTTTAAATAATATAATTAAGTAATACAGACGTTAACAGAATTTAAATAGATGTTTTTGCCGTTTTAAATAAATTGTAAGACCTGCTAAAACTTTTACCAGTAGCCATAAAATTTTATTTTTAATTGTTATAAATTTAAATTAGGAAGGTATTTATACTAACGACTTGGTGTTTTTCAATATTATTGCGTTCTTTTTTTTAGTAAAATGACAAAGTTGAGAATGTTGTGTCGTTTTAGACATCTAACTGGCAAAATTTGGAAGGCCGCTAGATGACCTCCCCCATGAACACAATCCATTTCAGCATCATCCCAGTTTTTCTTCACATTATTTCATATATAAACAAGAAAGAAAGCAAACTTCGGCAAGCCGAAGTTTATATACCCTTGTAGCTATTGCAAAAATTAAATATTCCTGAAAACATTAACATTAACATTATGATTAAGTTGCGTTTAAAAATATGAAAGCTATGATGATTTGCAGCTCAATTATTCGATAGTTCCTATGGCAGCTATATGATATCGTTTTCCAATTTTAATAAAATTAAAAGCGTAATTCTGAACTGTCAAAATATTAAATTAGGTAACTAAATTTAAACCGACATTTTGATATATATATATATTTATTTACCAATACAATATGTCGAGAAACTAAAAATAATAATTTAAAAAGATAAAGGTTATAATTTTATTTCATTTCTTTTTCCGGTTGTTCCTATGGGAGCTATATGCTATCGATCAGGCTCGTTCCGACTTATGTACTACCTGCAATAGAAAGACAACTTTTGAGAAAGTTTAATGCAGACTTCTTTAAAACTGAGAGGCTAGTTTGCGTAGAACATGGCTAGATCGACTCTCCTAAAGATGCTAATAATTTATAGATTACAATACCCTCTGCAAGGGTATAAACACGAACTTATAAGTACTTTTTTTACGATACAGTTGAACAATTTTAACAAAATTAAAACCGCAACTCTAATATATTAAATAGTATACAAGGAACTAAGCAAAAATTAAAAAATAACAAAGTAATAATTTTCAATAAATGTTGCCTAAATGTTTCTATGGGAGGTGTATGATATAGTCGTCCGATTCAACTTACCTGCAATAATTTTTGGGAAAGTTCCAAGAAAAAAGTAAGAGTTTTTGCATACTCAGAAATTATAACTAACTAACAGTGAACGCTTCGTATGTTAAGACTCTGCTTTAATGATTAATACGTTCCTCAGCAACTTGCTTTGATACTGCTTGCTGACCAGAGGACAACCATTTTATCTGTAAAAGTTCCACGCATTGTCAGAACTGTGTTCTTTGGTTTGTTCAATAGCCAAGCAGTGTTGTGGTATTCATAGATACTTGGACCGAGGTATATTTTTTGGTACCTAAAACCTTATCTAGGTAAACAAATGTGAGACTTCCTGTTTTACTTTATTTTTATGTAATTAGTTTCGTAATCGAATTAAGGCTGCACAATAAAATCAGCCCCGTTACTTAAGAATTCCAAAGCAGCGTGCCGATTACGGAATTAATTAAATGAAAATAAAGTTAATAATCGGTAGAAAGGAAGAAGGTGGCAACTAAAACAGGTTGTTTTTGGGGATCATTTATTTTGAAATTAGCTGAGTACGGGGATTCTTATATTCGGGGCACTTAACTAAGCTCGCCTACTAAGGTATAAAAGGTTTGGAATTAAGAAACACGCACAAATCACTTTTCAAAATCATTTGCATGACTAAAGATTAGAACTGTTTCTCAAGTTTTTATCGAAATATAACATGCAGCAATAGTCTACCATATAAAATAGTTTTTGAATTTACTGCCAAAATCAGTTTAGTCATTGATAAATAGTCAAACAACACAAGTTAAATTATTGAAAAACATCAAGTTAAATTCACTTCAAAATTATTGATATTTGAACGCATTACTTTGCGGGAAAATGGAAACTAAGGGTATCGTGATAATTTTTGCGATTATTATTACACTGATTGTTATTATAAACATTCTTCTCATCGCCTATATTGCAATGGACTGCTGGTATAAGGAACAGGTGTATGCTAATGCGATGCGTCCGGTAAGCTATTAACTAAATATTTACTTTATGTTATGCACTTTTTGATCACATATTCGTAAATACTTGTACTGGGAATATTGAAAAAAAAAGAAATATCGCTTTAGTAGAGTTCCCCGAATATTAGATAACTGTTTGTTGCCCACAAATCGGCATTTGACATGCTAGAAAGTAGGTGTTGGTTTCTGTGTGTGTTTCGGTAGGCACAACTCCTTTATTTTAAAAGTTATGAAAGTTATGAAGTCCTCTGCCGCCGCTCTGCCGCACCTCTGCTGCCCCTCAAAACGAAAGAACTGCAAGCAAGTGCAAGCAGTGCTGCACGCTCTTAGCTTCTGGTGTTGGCTATGCAGTTGGACAGATGGCGCCACCTAAACATAAACAGTTTTGTAGGCGAACGTTTTTTGGCTGAGTAACGGGTATCTAATAGTCGGGGAACTCGACTAAAGCGTTCTATCTTGTTTAATTTAATTTAAAAAAAATATATTTCCAAAGAGTGCTTTGAGTTTTATATCGAAATGCTTGTCAAATAATTTTTGAACCTTATTTAGAATACACAAATTCGTTTTTCTCGCAAAATCAACAGAAATATTTTTTTTCTAGGATCCTGCAATACAACCAAGGCAAATTCCAATACGTCGTGACGGTTGGTGGTTTATACCTTCCTCAGAATGAATCAACAAATAGTACTAGCTGCGATCGGCATAACAGTAATTCTGTGCCTGATCATTTTGAACATACTCTTTATATACTTTATAATCGACAATCCTTACCAAATGTCTACTAAGAAAATTAAAACAACCGAGGCGCCAACCACTACCGAAGAACCAGTGACAGAAGAAGAGATAAATGAACCTCCGGAGGCGGCAGAGGGTCCCGGAGAAGGCGGCGAAGCACCGGCCGCAGAAGGCTAAAAACTGTAAGTGCCACCTAAGTGCGTCCGATCGTTCAAATGTTTGAATTTAGGCATCAGCCGTGCTCTGACTTAGTTTTCCAGTTGGTTGTCCTGAAACTTAGATCGGTTTCAATTCCAATACTGCCTTCGTCGTGTTAAACATATAACGTATCTCAAAATTCCGTGACAAATAACACGTAAGAAGTTATGGACACGAAATTTTTAATATTAATTCTAACTCTCGTTATAGTTATTCTGTTTTTCTTGCTTATGATTGTGTTTTACGTATTTTTAAATTTCGATCGCGTTAGTACTACCCGGGGTCCTTATAATTGGTTTTGGTAAACAGCAGGCGGCGTCGACACAGTTGCCAATTTTTGTTTATATTCTAACAAGCCAATTCTAACTAGCTCTCCGTAAAAAATTTTCGAATTTGGGATATTAACACCAGTATCGCGCCATGGTAGAAAAATCGACGCTCGTCACAATTTTCCTCGTCATAACGGTGTTTCTGGTGACGTTAATGCTGATACTAATTCCCATGGCTTTCTTCAGGGGCAGGAGGGGTAAATCATCCCTCTTTAGGTCCTAATAGTAAGTATTGTCTGGTAAAATATTAAAATATTTTCTCGTGGGTGTAGGCCCGCCTTTAAATTAAATTTCAAAACCGCCATTTTGCTAATGTTATAAGCAGTGTACCGCACGACAGTTTTCCTTACATAGGCAAGCAGTGTACCGCTGGGCAGTTCCCTCGTGCATATAGGTCCGCGTCTACATTGTTTTTTTTTACCGACACCTAGCGGCGCAGTCGAAACTCATTGAGCGGAGACGTTAACCGCTTCTTCATGTACCGCCGCAACCCGACAAGGTGGCGCCACCGAAAACGCCAACCGATAATAAACGTTCTTAATTATCGATGGCTTAAATTTAAATTCGAATTTGTTCCCTTCTTCCATTCTTTTTGGCAGTTCCTCATTTAAAGTTTAACGCCCACTGTGGTATGCCAGGTGTGAATAATATTCTGTCTTTTGAAGATTCACTTCGCGACACCGCCTAATTCATGCACACTGCTCTCTGTCTACGAATTTTAGTGGGCGTACAACGGAAGTGCTTATTTGCGGTCATTAATGAAGACTGATCAACGCTCTGACTTCAGAAGCTCAAATCCGCTGCGTTGCCAGTTCAATCCCTTCCGATCTGTTGTTCACCTGCCGGAATGCAATCTGCCAGCTCGGTCGGGCCGAACTTCAATTGGGAAAAGCGTTCAGTGCCAAAGGAAGCCATATTTCATTCGGCAATTAGTGCAACGCTCATCGTACATGCCTAATTTTCGTTGGGATCTGTCCGACTGCCCGGTCCCGGTCCGTGATGGTTGTCCCCGCGATTTTACACTTCAATTAAATGAAAATTGTGTCACGCGCCGCGACTCGCGTCTTCCACGACTTGGAACTGGAGATGCCAGCCATCCAGAGCCACCAGCTTTGGTTGCCATCCCGTTTCGACACCGATGGCGATGGCGCGTATTTCCGCACACACATGCCCACACACAAAGCACTTGATTAAGCCCGACTCTTGCGTATTCCAGATTTTTCAGACTCGGACACATCATCACCCCCGGTCGGCGTGGCTAGGTCTTTCTTGTCAAATTCGGATCAGTGTCGCGCGGCGCTCAGCGGTGTCAACTTGTCGTGTGCAGCGCAAATTCCCAGTCCCAGTATCAGTACCAGTACCAGTGATAGTTATAGTGCCAGTATAACACAGCGTAGTCCCAGGCCAAGATCAAACAGGAGCTCATCTGGACTTGCACTCAAACCGATCCTTCAGTAGCCAAGCCAACGACATTCCAAATCCCAAGTACCAAGCCCTAACCCGAACCAAAACCCGAACTGAGGAAGCGCCAGCTGCCGAAGCGCGGAAGAATGCCGACCATCACGGAGGACTGCATCGATGGCTTCCAGCAGTACTACTCGCGGCCGCCGGAGAGGCCCAAGAAGAAGTCGCTGAAGCAGATGGTCTACGACTCGGAGGACAACTCCTACTTCGGTCGCTCCATCGACAGCTGGGGTGAGTCTGGGCCCAGAGCCTGCGGTTGCGTAAGTGACTGTCTTGATAGACGCTCTTGATAGAGGTCTGACCTTAATCAACCGAGTCTCTGAATCTCTAAATCTCTGAATCTCTGGTTATCCGAATCTCTTTGTCGTCGCATTAGCGCGGCCGCGCTACATATTACTGTGGATGTGGGTGGATGTATCCATTTACCGGCCTCCCGCCGAGCTCGAGCTCAAGCTTGAGTCCGTGTCCGTTTTGATTGGCCGCCCAATGGCGTTTGCGCTGCGGCGACCCCGGCGCGAACAGATCGGTGTGCCGCTGGGGGGCACTTGTGTCGCAATATCGGTCAATTATGCCATTATGCAATCAGGCGCTGGTGAACCCGCGACCGTTCCCCAGAACCGTCGCTGATCTCGACGGAGGGTCGTAGGACAGCGGGGGGACCAAGGAGCAGGTGGTAAGGGCTGTTCAGGAGAACCCTGACTAAGGCTGCGTTTAGGCCCGGCTCAAAAGGTCAATTGCCACTGATTGAGCATTGACCTTCAAAAACAATCGTTTGGATTGAAGAGATTTAACAAAGCCTGAGTTTGTCTTACCTTGCTCTTATACCGATAGCAAAGATATTTCTTCATGCCTGTTAGCTTTCGCTCAGAATGACCAAAGAAACTCTCGTAAAACGTTTTAGCTAACTTATATAGGATACAGCCATTAGCCTCTAGGTATTCCGAAAATTTCTTCATCCCATTTTTGGAATCCTTAAGTCAACCTTTAAGAAAGTGTCCAAAATTCTTCACTGCTTTTCCTCTGCAAGGGTGTTTAAGGCAGACATTGAAATACAAACAGAATATGCACATAGAAATAAATAATAACGAGAACTTATGTTAATTCAAAGCCGATCTCCCTGAAGATATAAACGTTAGGCCTTGTTCTTAATGAAAATTTTCAACAATTTTATTAAAATTTGTTAAATTTCGATTTTTATCTTCAAAAAGTATCTGCCAGATGCATGTGTGGGTGCTTTAGGGGTTAGTATACAGTAATTAAAAAAGAACAAGCAAAAATTAATTTTTTGACGAAATGGCGTTAACTCCAAAAAAAAATTGGACTAAAAATTCGGGCTTAAATGAGAAAAAATCTTCGATTTATTACTAGAAAATATATATATAAGAAGCTCGTTTTAAATTTGACACTAATCCGTTTTCGAGTAATGTTTGAAACCGGCTTTGAAAATACCATTTTGAGAAGAACGCGTTTAAATTTCGTACTGGCACTTTTGAGCTCTCTGAAATTTAAAAATTTTCTGGGTGTATTGTTAAATATGTGTTCACTAAGAAAATAAAATAAAACAAATTTGATTTGCTTTAAATTCTAACTGTATATAACCTTAAAGAAGGAAGAGTGTATTTTTCTTTTAACACAATGGCGGTTTAAAAAAAAAAGAATTTTGACAAAAATTTAAAAAAAAAATTTTCGGTGGGAAAAAATCTTTAATTTAATAACTAAAAAGTATATTTAAGAAGCTTGTGTTTAAATTTGAGACTAATCGGTCACCGACTTTAAAAACGACATTCTGAGAAAAACGTGTGTAAAGTTTGTACTTTTTAAGTACTCTCAAACGCCTTTTAAAATTTACATGACATCAAAAAATATTCACCGGAACGATATGAAATTTTCTGAGTATTGAATAAATTTAATTAAATAAAAGCAAATTATTGGGGCAGTCAGGTATATTGCATGCGATTCATGTTAAATACATCATATTAGTCTACTAATTTTTCCACGCCCCGATCTGCGGAATTGGGCATGCCCAATTAAACAAATCCACTGCACTTGTATATCCATTAGAACGTTATTGTATAACCATACTGTTAGAAAATGTTGCATTTATCGTTGATTTTATCGAGCAAGGTCCAACTTCCTTAAAAAAGTTTTGTATCCTCAACGTGGTCCTATCGTGTTGCCCGCAATCGTACGCACGCCGTAGTTTGGTCCTTGAATACAACTCCAGCGGAGCAGTTGCCAGTGGAACAGAGGGCTCTATGAAACCCACCCCTGTGCGTGTATGTATAGCAACTCTCAGCTTGGCCCACTTCCCTGCATATCTGAATACCCATGTCCTGTGGCCGTATTTAAACCAGTTCCTTCCCCAGTTCGACGACAAGAGAAATACGGCTTGAATGCTAATGTTGGCGTGCAAAACATATTTAAATGCGCAATTTTTCGTTTCAAAGCAAAGCGACCTTAGAAAATCTCTCTTGAGTAGCCCTAAACTTTTAAGAAATAGATCAATAAATCAATATGGTATTACCAAAAGAACATATGGAGGAATTTAACGTTTGGACTGTGCATTGAAGCCAGCCATCTGGTACCTGGTGTTTCTCTCAGTGTGCCCATGGGTCCGGAATCGAACCCCGGGCAATTGGCACTAAATGCGCTGCAGTGGCATGGACAATCGCCGGCACCGCACCGCATTGCATCGCCTAATTAAAGCGAGTGCACAAGGAGACAGCGTTTCCACGGCAATTAGAACGCAACTCAATCTCAGTCCGGAAAACCCGACCGATCCCAGATCCGATTCCACTCGAATGGGAAACGCTTAAGTGCGGCAATGCTGTCAAAAGCGCTTTTCACTCAAAACAAACTCGGCTCGAGAGAGCGGCCAACGAAAAACGGCTCAAGCCAAGTCTGTTGTTTGGCTGCGAATCGACAGACTTCAGATTCGGGTTTCAGTCTGAAATTTGTTTTGAGCGGCGACCAAACGTGTCACGGAGAACTCGTAACGTGGTCGAGACGCGTCTCGTTTGCAAACAACAAATAAAAAGAGTTTGTGGTCCGTACAGTGAAGTTTCCCCTGCTTTCCTCACAGGAAATTACCAAAAAAAGAGTCCTTGCAAATAGTTCAACATTCTGTTGCGCACACACAGCCCCCATTAAGCGGGCAATTAGTGAAAGATAATAAATAATTCCAAGGGCCGTCTTTAAGAACGCTCCATAATTTCTTCAAAAAGGTGTGGTTGTTTGTATGTGGCCAAGCGCTAAGAGCGCCAGCTAAGAGAAGCACATACAATGCACACTTCGCTCGCTCGTTTGCAAAGAGCGGCAGCGGGCAGAGGGCACGGTTTGTTGTGGTGGTTGCGAGGCGAAAATAAAAGGAATGCACAGCAGTGGATATGTGCTTAAATAAAGAACCGATGCCGAGATACTTTTGTATCTGACACTTTTGTTTTGCCAATGCCCAATGCCGGGTCAAAGCCAATGTGGCATTGAGAGCCCCACAGCAGACGCGGAAATGCGACTGTGTCGCCGACCGACTAATTCGCCCCATTTCGCCCCATTTCGGCCCACATTGGCCCACTTTGGCCCACTTTTGGCCCACTTCGGTCCACTTTGGCCCATTCCAGCCCTACCAGTTGCAGATTGTATTCGCATCCGACGGATGCCCTCTCGCTTCGGCCAGGAGAGCCAAAAAAGGCGCCATATTTTCTGCACCGCAAGAGGGGTGAAACGGCGAGCGAGAGAGTCGAGAGAAATTAAGAGCAAAGGACCTGGATTGTTACAAAAAAGAACAACAGAACGTGTGTGTCATTGAGCGCGTACTATTTGCGTACATCTGTACAACTGTTTGGCGGTCAACGAATATTTACGATATAAAAACATCAGTGCTGGCCAAATTTTTAGTTCAGTTGCAGGGTTTTTTTTTTTCGTAATAAACTACTACGTTTATATGCACGACTTAACTGTATATATTGCAGGAGATAATTGCTTTCTAATAATTTAATACTACGGAGTTTAAATAACGTATAAAAAGCAAGTGTATAAAAGCAGGCGTATAAACGTAGTATATGATTTATTAGTCCACTTCAAACCCGAAACTGAACCGTCTACAGGCCTTTAGATTTAAAGAAAACCCACCGAAACAAACATGTCGAAGCCCGTACCGATGAGTCCGTCCTTCGCGGACGAGGATCTGCACAACTTGAGGAAGCCCAAACCGTTCAACTTCGGCCAATTCTTATACAACTCCGAGGACGGCACTGTTATGGGCCGAAATCGAACGTCATGGGGTAAGTGTGTTGCCGTGTTTATTGCATTCTCCTGCCATAAAACTGACGGAGTTGACGGACTTTTTGCTCGCGTTCGCATATGCCTGCTGTAAATCAGGGCCTGTCGCCAATTGGAACCGTGCTTCGGAATTTATTCAAATATAATAACACGGCACTGCGAACGTGTCATCTATTGCACCGCCTGAAGTGTCGAGAGTTGCACTCACTCGTAAAAAGTAGAGTAGTGGCTTGTGGAAGCGGCGAGCAAATTAACGTCTGCATGTAACGATGCTCGGCAATGGGGTCAAATTAGGGTGGGGAAATGCGGCATCTTATTTTTGTTCGCCATCAATTACCGCTAGTTAAGCTGTCCGCTGCAGCGTTTATCATCAATTGCACCGGAAAGGTTTTCCCAGCACGCCAATAGTGGCATTTAAAAGTTGGCAAGCCCAAGGCCCTCTATACGTGTACATATATTCATACATACATATGTATGTATATAGACAAGTGCACATCGCAATTATGCTGAAATGGGCAAAGCAAAGCTGAAAATATATGAAAATGGAAATAAGTACTAATTACATTGGCCAGATATTGGCAGAGAAAAGAATATGTACGTTAAGAACTAAAGGTGCCTTCACGAAAGTGCAAATGCCAAACCGAGTATATTTAATAATACACCCAAAAAAAACTAATTGGTTGATGCCGAAGGCTTGCTATTATCTGAAGAGGAAAAAGAAGAAATTAATTATCAAAATTCAATTTAAACTAAAATGAAAGCAAACTTCGGCCAGCCGAAGTGAGTACATCAATGTCCATGCTGTTAATATTTTTAAATCTCTTTTAATTGCTCTACCCTGCAAACTGTAATTTTCTATTAACTGCAAAATAAATTTAAACAATTTAACTTTTTCATCTGTTAACTGCAATTCCATTTTGTTCAAACAAGTTATTAGAAAAGTTAAGAATGTAAAATGTATTTAGTCGTCTGTGTATTTTTAAAAAAATTAAAGCTATGCTGATTTTAGATCAATTATTCGATCGTGCTATGACAGCTATATGGTTTCGTTTTCCAATTCAATTAAAATAAAAGCGTAATTTTGAATTATTAAACCATTCTTCATCCAAAAGAAATAAAAAAAAGTGAAATAGAAAAGTTAATAGGCTAATATATTTTGATGTATAAACTACATGCAAGAGGTAGTCATAAATGCGATTAGTGGTAAAAAAACGAAGTAAATCCAAATATTTTGTACTCAATTTAAATATTCCAGATATTTTGTACTCAATTTAAAATATTTAATTTTTAATTTAATTTTCACCCGTTACAGTTTTTATTTATTTTAAATTTGAAAACATTAATATGTTTTAAAATTTTTCTTTTGATTATTTTTATACCCTGGCAGAGGGTAATATAACTTTGGTCAGAAGAAAGAGACTTTTCAGACCCCATAAAATATATATATAGGGGAGTCGATATAGCCATGTCTGATCAGGGTAAAAGGGCGTACCGATCAGACGTTTATATCCTATAGCTCTCATAGGAATAATAGGGTGTAATCGATCAAAATTTTATGTGTTTTAAAATATTTCGCGCAGTGTATAAGCTATTGGCATCAATTTTTCAAAGTCGTATTTATCTACGCATACCTTGTTACACTTCTGTTATTCTTCTCGCTACTTTTGCAATTCTAGCAATTTCGGCAAAGACTGAATTTAATTTAAATTTAATTTAATTTAGCTATATGTAAAATGGGAACTATTTTAAATCTAATAATTTCAATTTAATTATTTAATGTTAAACAATGAAATTTAATACGCATTGTATTTAAAATTATGATTTAATATTTAATTTAAAAATTAAGTATAAAAATTTAAATTTATTTTTTACTATTCCATCCATTTCTGAAAATTTAAATTACACTTGATTTTTAATATGAATAATTGATCCCAAAAATCACTAAGGTAAATTAATTAAATATATATTTAAAATAGTTGCAATTTAGGAGTTTTAAACAGTTTTATTAAATCGCAACTGTAGGAAAGTAGCTTTCCATTTCTTCTGCCAACGCATGGTTTTAAGCATCAAGTAAATAAGGTGATGTAAAATGTGCTAACCTTCTTGCACATAGCATACCCAATTGACCCAACTCCGGTTTGGCTTCGGTTCTCTCTTAGCTGATTGTTCTCTTGCGATCCAACTTCTTAGACCAATTGAGGTTATGTCAGATGGGAAGTGCGAGTGCCTGTGAGAGTTAAGAGCGATCGCTGCACACACACACACACCCTTGGACCGGGTCATAACCAGTTGGCTCTTGAGCGTAGTCGACTCACGAGGCGGCTCTCTTCCGAAGTCTAAGAGTGTCGTTCCGCAGAATATGTAGACTTATACGAGTGTTCGGATGGCAATGATGATTCAGCGGAGAAGCTCGGCGTCAGTTCGCCGTCTACTCCGAACTTGAGAAGCAGCACAGCTTGGGGGATTCTTCCCATTCCCATTCCCATTTCCATTTCCATTTGTTTATGCAGCCCACTTGCGCCGGCTGTCGCCAATTATCGGTTTAACCCATGCTGACCGAGGGGCCAGCGACAATTAATTAATTCAATCGCTTCAATTGACTGGTGATCGCCAAGGGGCTGACTCTAATCGGTGTAATTCAATAAGTATTAACCGTTATCCTCCTTTCGCAGCCAAAATTGGAATCTTCTATGTGGCCTTCTACGGAGTCCTCGCCGCCCTGGTGGCCATCTGCATGTGGGCCTTCTTCCAAACCCTCGACCCTCGCATTCCCAAGTGGACACTGGACCGCTCCCTGATCGGCACAAACCCAGGTCAGTCGCCGCCGCTCATAGCAACCCCCGCCAATTTCCCCCCTAACCGAGCCTTGCCATCCTAGGTTTGGGTTTCCGCCCCCTGCCACCCGTTGACAACGTGGAAAGCACCTTGATCTGGTACAAGGGCACTCAGCATGAGAACTACAAGCACTGGACGGACTCCCTCGATGACTTCCTTGCGGGTAAGTACCAATAGTTTGCACTATCTAGTGAGAACTTTTCTCATAGACAGACACGCCGTTTTAGGATAAAAGTAGCAGCTTACGTCAATCAGTCCAGCTAGTTTAACCTTAGACCCGTGCACATAAATTTAAACACATTGCCGTGATTTGGGGTCGATCTAACCCTATGGGGGATTGTCGTGCTGGTTTGTTTTTTTTTTGTTACGATCACAACTATTTCAATAATAGCGTGTGGTTAAATGACTCACTTTTGCCATCAGAATGTTAAAAATTCTTCAAAGCAAGCTCTGTTCCTTGAATGGGTAAGCACTTCCATTGTATTTTGCATAGATTTTTACTGTGTATCACTCCTGCCTTTGCTAAGATGTGTACGGGCACGCTTTTTTAAACAAAATATATCATGTCTAAATCGAACACAGTAAGAAAATGTACGTTGAACAAAGAACACACAGAGCACATGATTTTTCAGCCCCATGCATTACACATGCGAAATGTCATGAAACTTAATTAAAAAAAAAAAAAAAAACAAAAGGTTCAAGCTTCACAACCATATCAGCCTTTTGAAATTTCTAAATATGCGTAGTTTTATTTTTTTGGGTTAGATCAACCCCTAAAGCGATAAGGGTTGATAAATAAAGTCCGTAATTATATTTAATATTCTATTTACCATTCCAGTTTACAAAGTACCTGGATTGACTCCCGGTCGTGGCCAGAACATCTACAACTGCGACTACAACCAGCCGCCGCCGAAGGGTCAGGTGTGCGACGTGGACATCAAGTCGTGGTCTCCCTGCACCAAGGAGAACAACTACAGTTACCACAAGAGTGCCCCCTGTATTTTCCTCAAGCTCAACAAAATCTATGGGTGGATACCGGAGTATTACAATGATTCGCAGGACTTGCCCGAATCCATGCCTTTGAGTTTGAAGACGTACATCGGGGAGGTCCAGAAGACGCAGCCACACAAGGTGAGTGAAGTGACTCGGACTATGAACTTTAACCCATTGTATTCAACATTCGAATTACTCCAGCTAAACACCATCTGGGTGTCGTGCGAGGGCGAGAATCCAGCCGATCAGGAGAACATTGGAGCCGTCAACTACCTGCCAATCAGGGGCTTTCCCGGCTACTTCTATCCCTACCAGAACTCCGAGGGCTACTTGAGTCCCTTGGTGGCCGTACACTTCCAGCGGCCCAAACGTGAGTAGTCCTTGCATCCCGCGAGTCCACAGTCTCCTGAGTAATCGCTTATTGGCCACTTTGCAGGCGGAATCATCATCAACGTCGAGTGCAAGGCTTGGGCTCGCAACATTGTGCACGATCGCAAGGAAAGGATCGGTTCGGTCCACTATGAGCTCCTCATCGATTAAAGTTTATCGAATATTACCTATAACACATTGTAAAACAGAAGAATCTCCGTTGAGCAAGAATCTCGGACCCGAGGGGTGAGGACGTCGTTCAATATCGTCTAAGACAATCCTACCAGAGGCAAACCACCTGATGTTTGTTGTAGTGAAAATTGTGAAAGGTTCAGATTTCAGTTTGTAATTTAAAACTCAAAATTGTTTAATTGTATTTTTTCCTGACATATAAATACAAGTTATAACCAAGATTTGCGACGCCTAAAATATACATTTTTAAATTTAAAGTACTTTGTATGCACTTTACGATGAAAGTTTCACATCAGATTATAAAAGCAAGATGAGAAATCAGTGAACAGGATTGTAATAGCCAAGCCTGAATCTTATTTAACGCTGACCACTAAATCAAGCAAATGCAACAAATTTACAGCAATTAATCCAAACTGCCATTTCCAATAAATCAACAAACGAAACCTTAGATATACAAACTTTTAAAGAAAATTTATGGATTTCAATTTTTGAGTCTGCTATACCTGTAACCAAAACAGACCAATTTTGTCAACCAAAAAAAACAAATTTAACATTTACAGCTAGCTTCAGGATATACCATATTTATAAATAACTTAGGCAAAAGTGAAATCTCTATACATCACATTTTTATAACGACAATTCTTTTTGGCCACCAGAAACGCGTAACTTCGGATAATTTGTAAGTTTATAATATAACATAATTGCAAAAAATGAAATTTATGAATATTACTTGAACTAAAACGGCTGAGAAGAATCACTTTCAAATCTTTTTAATAAAAATAAAAATGAAAGTAGTCAGATAAAATTAATGTTTTTTTTATTTAAGGGCTGGGTATGATTTCCAGAAAACTACAAATTCCTGTCAAGGATACAAATGGAGCGTATTTTTATTTTGTTTAAAAAAATCTTTGCAGAGAAAATAAATGAAAGCATTAATCGACAACAAAATAGGTTTATTAAAAGTCAATGGTAACTAAATGTATTTAACTAAATTTTTCATAAGCATTTTAGCATACCTTTTTGAAAATGAAATGAAATAATTACTGTTGCAATAGCATTACTTTTAAAATATCAAATGTTTTTTCAATAGCATTTATTTTGATATTTTTTTAGTAGCATTACTTTCTTGACAATCTTCCATTCGTTTTTTAATAATAAGTCAAAATCAACGCTAATGCTAAAGGCACAGCTCTGCTAGGCTGTTAACAAACAAATTTCTGTTGGCCATATGACATACTTTCGGATTTACTTAAACGTTGGAGTTGCCCTGCTATGATAAGATAATGATAAAGTTGATAATGCGATATCACAAATCTCTGCCGTCATCTGATACTGGTCAGCCCCTGTGACTGATTAATAAACTTGAGCCAGATCGATTGGCTTTTGTCCATTTATTAATTTATTTTTTTTATTTAGACAAAAATAGTCATAGACATACATATGCATTAAGAAATCAAAGTTATATCGTACGTGCCACATTGGGTGTGTACATGCAAATCGACTCAGTTAAATGGCTTCAAAGCAATTTTCCTTAATAAACTAATGTTACTATTTTGCGACGTGATTTTAGGTCCATAAAATAAAAATATTTGTTGGTTTTTGAATACAAGTACACCGGAATCAACCACTTTTATATACATCTTACATACATATGTAAACTGTAGATCATTTTTTTATCAGCCAAATAATAAGTCGGCCAATTGCGTCATTAAAATTCATTAACGAATCGATTCTGTTTGTTTTTTGATATTAAGTTTATTTATAACTTGACGGTCAAAAAGTATACATAAGCAGATGTGGAAAAAATTCAATTGCCTGGAGCACATACAAAAAAGTAGAAGCAGTTGTATTAGGGTATTTGTATATTGAATTATTATTATTCGACCGTATATTTTTGATCCTTCATTACGAAAAGCGTAGATCTAGCCAATTCCGTCTGTCCGTCCGTCTTCCGTTATGTTAGTCTCTCTGCAAACTAGTCTCTCAGTTTGAATGTAGTGGTCGGCCCACATAATGCACCCAGAGTAAAATCCCATACTAAAATTAAACATTAATGTAACATTGTTTTTATACCCTTGCAAAAAGGTATTATAAATTCAGTCAGAAGCTTGCAACGCAGTGAAGCGGACATCTCCGACCCTATAAAGTATATATATTCTTGATCAGCATCACTAGGAGAGACGATCTAGCCATGTCCGTCTGTCCGTCCGTTTCTACGCAAACTAGTCTCTCAGTTTTAAAGCTATCTGCATGAAACTTTCCCAAAAGTTGTCTTTCTATTGCAGGTAGTATATAAGTCGGAACGAGTTAGTTCTTCGACATATAGTAATAGTTAAATGTTTCCGAATTACGGTTTAAATTTCATTCATCGCCAGGATGGAACCTTATTCGGTCGAACCGGTAAAAATTGGAGTAAGTAAAGATGGTGGTGAAAATATAACTTCAAGAGGTTTGAAACAACTTTCGAAATCTATATAAACAAGAAAGAAAGCAAACTTCGGCAAGCCGAAGTTCATATACCCTTGCAGCTATTGCATGAATTAAATACTTTTGAAAACAATTAAATTATGATTTACTTGAGTATATGCTGAAAAACATTGAAGCTACGATGATTTGCAGCTCAATTATTAGATAGTTATTTTATATATTTTTATTATTTCTGTGGGAGCTATATGATTTTGATGAAATTTAAACCGTAATTCGGAAATTTTTAACTATTACTATATGTCGAAGAACTAAAAAAAAAATAAAAAACAGCAAAGTTATAATTCTTTTTTGTTTCATTTTTCGATAGTCGTCTGATCCGGCTCGTTCCGACTTATATACTACCTGCAATAGGAAGACAGATTTTAGGAAAGTTTCATACAGATAGCTTTTAAACTGAGAGACTAGTTTGCGTGGTCGTGGGACTGACATACATGGCTGGATCGACTCTCATATAGACGCTGATGAAAAATATATATATATTATAGGGACGGAAATGTATCCTTCAAACTTCAGATGAAGATTATAATAACCTCTGCAAAGGTCCAAAACTGAAAGTGTCACACACTTTGATTTAATCAGTACCGAAAATATTTAATTTAAAAAGAAAATATTTGGGTTGCATTGATTTTTCTGGGTGTATAACGTGCTCGCACTTTTTTGTGTGTCAGTGTGTGTGCGGTTTTATACTGATCGTGTCAGCTTCTGCCGCAGCGCTGCTGTTGCTCTGCCGAGTTGTTCTTTCCGGCGATATGTTGGTCTTAGCCGACTACTGTTTTAAAGCTATATGAATAAAAAAAACAAGTAATTACTTCTATTTTTTTTTATTTTTTTTTTAATATTCTTTGAGATATAGTTAAAGAATAATATTTCAGAAATATAGATTAAGAATAATATTTAAAAATTACGGCTCTAATGTCATTAAAATCGGACGACTATATCATAAAGCTCCCATGGGAACAATCCAAAAAATACACAAATAAGTATATCTTGGCTACTTTTTATTTGATTTGAATATACCTCGATACATAGCAATGGCTTACTATTTTAGTTTTATTAAAATCGGACAACTATGTCATATAGCTGCCATAGGAGCGATCGAATAATTTAAAGGAAAATAATCACAGCTTCACTGTTGTTAATCATATAGGCATAAAATTTGAATATTGCAGTTTTAAAGAATATTAAACTTTTTGACTATCTGCAAGGGCCTGACGAAGTTAGCTTCTATTTCTTTTTTTCGACAAGTATTCGTGCACGAACAGTTAGAAACTGAGCTTTAATTTTAATTTACAAACTTTTTAGCCTCTTTTCCATTTTATTAGGTTACCAAATAATCAAACTTTTATTTTGAAAATCTAAATATTGCTATATATTTTTGCTTGTAAATTTTTTTCCTTTTTACACAATCAATATTATTTGAATTACAAAACTTGGAGTTTTTAATTAATTAAAGTGTAATTTTGAAATTTGAGTTCAGGGTTCAAACACTTTTTTGACTCATTGATCATTGTTTGAAATGACCACTTGTCTTTGAAGTAATTAAGTGGATCTATACTTGCATTTATCTGGTCAGCTTATTGAATGCATATGTACATGCAACAACTCTTACCCGCTAATTGACAGCTAATTAGCTGAGTGACAGAACATTGTCCACAGAACCTAAAGCAAATAGTCGCACAGATATTTCGCTAAATAGAAAAATCAAAGTAAATCTCTAATAAGGAAGCTCTTTAAGATTGAAAGATTGACACGCTCACGCACACAGGAATCGCTGGAAAGTCGGTTTGGACCAGATAATTCAGATAGACTGGTAGGCCGAAGATATTCCCGGGAGCAAAGCGAGGCCTTCCATGTGTAATTACATTTGCTTAATCTGGAGTTCTGTTCAGTTGAACAGAAGCGGGAGCTTCTTTCAGTGACAACTATTGTGTGGATATAACCGGACAAAACCGAGAAAGTTACTCATGATGGTCCCAACCTTCGAATGTGTGACAATTTATGTACATATGTACGCAATTGAAAAGGTATTTTCATGGGTTTCACAGCCAATGGGGTGTATATGATTTTGGCAAACAGGTATAGTTAACATTCGACATTGTGGTGCAGTTATCGAAATCCCAGCCAGCCAATATATCACAGTATTTACATAAGTGACTGATAAACAGCTCCTGCCTCTAGTCTGAGAACCCAATAAACTCAGATGCAGGAATTGCGCCTTACAATTGAGTTGTCGACATTATGTGCCTGCCGTTGTCAAGTGTAATTTAATCAACTTGTGAAGATTACAACAGTGAAGCACCGAGATACGTAAACATAATACCGTGACCATTTATCCGTGCACAAATGTACCCTTAATCAGCAGCAACAGTTCAAGAAGGAGGCAATTGGCAATGGCAACCTATTGTTGGGGGAGTTGGCATTCGGTGCTGCAAGGGGTTGCCGAGCAGGAGGAAGTGCACATTTGTGGGAATTAATCAATCAATCTTACACTCTACAAAATTGTCCATCCCACTCCAAGTTTAAGAAGTACATATGTACTTCTTATTAATGGTAAACCCCATTAAATACGGATTAAAAAAATGTTATTTTATCGTACCTTTTTGTTTTAGGTATATATGTACAATGGTCCTAATAAAATAAAAATAATTAATTATAATAAATAATAATTAATTTCCTTTGTCGCAATGTAAAAAAAAGGTTCCAAATAGTATATAATATACATGAAAACCAGAAT